GTATCTCCCATGATTCTGGTCACTGTGACCTGCTGGGTTGAATCTTGGCAGAGTTTCATGAATAGCACTTGTGTGTTGATATGTTGCAAGCATTCCATCAGATTAATGTGGAACTTTACAATTTGCAGTGGAATAAAATGTGTGCCCAGTAGCACTTTGTGAAAATTCTGCAATTGACAAATTGTGAACGAAAGACCTTGATATATTGATGTCAATCAGCAAAAATAAGTGTATGAATATGTTGAATATAACACGACTCTGCTGTATTTGTTGTTCCACATAGAAGCACCTCACAGTAAACATCCACAAGCCTGTAGTTTTGTCACACAGATACTGATCTATGACTTCACTATTCCTCCAGGAGACAAATTGAGGTTGATTGCCACAGTGCATTAGGTTACCAGAACAGACAAATATGCCACTGGCTTCATCCAAGGAATTTTGCAAACAATAAGGTTTTGTCTTCGAAGTTGGTTTGCAGGACACCAAACAGTTATCTTCATCTAGTGTTTGTTTATTTTTAGAAAGTCAAACCTACTCTGAGCAAAACTGGGTAACGTTCTGTTCTGATGTTTCATCAAACGCACATTTTCTGTATTTAATGTATTTACATCAAGCAGCTGTCAGCAAAACTGAAAGGCATATTTAACATTTTCTATTCATTTCACATCACTTTGGCATTCCACGGTTAATAATCGTATGTTAAGATTCCACATTGATTTTCCTGCAGATGTGTGAAAGCCGCAGAATTCATAGCTACTATGATAAAATCAACATTATTTTTCTTCCCATTTTTCCTACACTGGTTAGTTTGTATGAAATGTCAGGAAATATGGTTGAGGCCAGGACACTGGACTCATTTTTTTAAAAACACAACTTGGATGAGTATTGTGGTAGGCTAGATCAAATGAGGCAATGGCATGATCTGAATCAATCTAGTGCAATGTTTTAGAATATGGAGAACATGCCAATAATAACTAATAATAATACTTTTTGTATTGTGCCTTTCAAGTTCCAAAGCACTTCACAGAATATATTGTAAAGTGTGGCTTGCACACGTGTTTTGTGGGCAAACACAGCAGCTAATTTGTACTCAGTAACCCCCACCCCACAAATGGCCATGAATTGAACAATCAATTTTATTTGAGGAATGGTTGGCCAGGACTCCGGGAGAAACTCCATTCTCGATGGTTCTCAGTGAAGAGGTTCAACTAGCTTCATAAATTGAGCATTGAAATGTAAATGGCTTATACAGTGATCAGACATCTGAGTCGCAAATGTTGCCTTATTTTTGAGTAAATTTCCCGATGAAGATATCTAAAATTGGAATTTTACGTTTATTCAGAGTGCGCTGTGAGTTAAGAAATGCTATCCATTTTTTTGGTATATTTGGATCATTGTTTTTTTTTGCAATTTTATGATGGAAATTTGCAGACATTATATTGTAGGAAGCAGAAGAATAGGCCTTTATGAGTGGTGACCAAACCATAATATTGAAGGCTTATGTGTTTGTGCAGCCGGTCTAAAATATGGGTCTGTTCACAGTTGGAGGGCCATCATTTGTTGGATAATCATTGGGTTACCAGTCCTTCAGTCTGCACAATAATGTGCTCCTGTCTGAAATTTCTGGAATCCCAGAACTTATAAATACTAGATTCTCCCAGGTCTGTAATCTTGACAGCATTTATATGTGTGACCAACTTAAATAGAATAAATGCCTTGCGTGATTGTTAACATGTTCCCAGTTTTAAAGCGTAGTCAGCATGCCAGCAAAACTGATCGGGTTCTTTGAAGACTATTCAAATAGGTTGCTATTGAAATGCATCAAAACGACTGTTTGCTCAACTATTTGGAGGAATTACTTGTGTACTTTACGCAGATTTTGACAAAGATGCTTCACATGTCAATTTTTTTTTATGCTGCCTTTTTGCTATAGTAGCTGTCAAAAGGGAATCGGAAAGGTATTCGAAAAGGAATAAAGTTGCAGGGCTATGGGATAAGAGCAGGGGAGCTGGATAGCTTTTCAAAGGGCCAGCACAAGCACGGCATCATATGGCCTCAGCCATATCAAAAAAAGGTTATGAATTTCTCTTTCAAACTATGTTCTCCTGTGTGGATTTAAGATAGTAATAGCTGGAGAGGACAACATGGTTACCACAAGTGATTGCAGACGGTTGCTATGCTGTGTTCCTCACGGCCTCAATAATGGATCAGTGGAGCTTTTGGAGACTTCAGAAACAATTTGCTCTTTAATCTCTGAAGAACCAAAATATTCATATGAAGTCCCATGAGAAGAATTACCCAATTCATAGCTCATGCGCTTGCGTCGCAGCAAGCCTCAATGAACAATCAGCAGGGATGGGCGTCTAGGTAGCTTCATACTTCTAGTTCAGGTTAGGCTGTGTGCAAATCAAGCGAGTAGATTTCATACCCAAACCTGAAATATTTAGACTGCTCCTACTACAGCAGAGATCGCTGCTGCTCCTCACCCAGCAGGGGCTTGGTTGCCCACTTATTATGTAAGTCAGTATAATCTATTGCATTTCTTGTAATGACCTTATATCCACACAATTTTGAAATCAACAAGAGGGGAGGGAGGGTCGATCTTAATTTGTCTGGGTATCAGGCTCTCTACAATAGTTTCACCCATACAAAAGAGTTTTGGTGATGTCTCAGAGTTCTTTAGAGAATATATTGTAAAGTGAAATTGACTGTATATTCTGTATTCCACTCCACTTTCAATTCCAGTTGCCCGATAGAAATAAATACAAAGTTCTACACATGCACAAACGCTGTAATATTACAAAATGGTTGAATTGAAAGGTCCTGCACTGTCTATTGATGGCCCAATAACCTTCATGAGGGAATGGGACCCAATTCAATTTCCAACTCTTGAGATTGTAAATTTCTCCTGAACCCACCTCAGCAAAATTGGGTCAGGAACCAGCTCAATTCAGATTTATATTGGACACTTGGTAGCAAATCACTGCCCAAATTACAGCAGTATCCTTCCAAACAAGTCGCATAAATGCAGAATTAATTACACATATTCAAGGTTGAAGTGCACTTCAAGACAGTTACACATTCACAAAGCGAGTAGATTTCATACCCAAAGCTCCAGTCCCCAAACACTGAAGCAACATACTCTTTATCCACAGCCACACAAAAAAAAATCATTCAAGCAGGCAGTGAATAATGAACTTTTAAAATCCAGGCCCTCTAAAATCAGTGCTCACTGCACAAGACAACAACAAGAAGATTCCATTTATAGAGCGCCTTTCACATTGGGAGGACGTCCCAAGGCGCTGTACAGTTGGGTCAGGACCCGAGCAGGGGGGAAATGGTCAGGGTGAGGGGAGGGAAGGGAGGGAGCGAGGAGGGGGTAGAGAGTCGAGAGGGAAGCTGAAGGCACGGTCAAAGAGAAGATATGCATTCATATAGCGCCCTTCGCGTAGGATAGTGTCTCGGAGTACCACAGCAGTAAGCGCACAGCAAAACACTACTTTTTGCTTATGTGCCCATGTTCAGTTAAGGCAAATATTTTTCTTCCCATCCACAAATTGAGGTCACCTGCCACATTACATTTCAACAACCCAATCTGACTAAAGCTGCCTCTGGCCATTTTTTCAGAGGTTCATGATGCAGTTAAATGTATAATCATCTGAATAAGGCATAGGGGGACTGACTAAAGAAACCAGAGCTTTCAGATGTACAGTGAACACTCGGAGTACAGTACGATATTTTCATTTATATGGACCTGACAGGCAGAAACCCAACCGGTATAATAAGCGATATGCTTCCGATTTTGAAGGCTCCTCTAAACACAATGGTGTGTTTGGTTGTGATTTTCTTTGTCCCCAGCTTTCAAGCAGTCTCATCACCACAAGCTGCAGCTAACATCTCTGACAAAGTAAGTTTTTTTCACTTGTTTTGCTTGCACTTTGCCTTCAAAGCAGCCAGAGCTAGTCAGGAAGAAAGTAGGACTCAAAATGTCCAGATCTAAATGACATTTTTTTTGAAGCTACTATTCTGAATATTTTATAATGTTTTTGCAAATAATGCAATTTCAATTTTAATCAAATCTGCTGCTCATATGCCTTATCCCTCCTTTTGTTTTTCACATGCTCCTCAGAATCATTTCTCTTCTATAACTTGTGTCATTTTGAAGATGATCAAGCTAGTTAGACTGTATTGTAACCAAAAATAGGTTGAATATTTGAAATGAATATAGAAATTGACAGCATACTTTCTAGTGATATGACTCATAGCTTATGTATAGTATTAACTGGCATATAAGGGATTTGAAATACAGCAAATCTTTGTTATAACTGAAGTCATTTATATATTGAGATATATTGTATTTTTGTTAAAAAACCCAGTTTTGCACTATATTCAGTCACCCACTTGGGTTCCGAACCTCTCACTAAGAAGTATTCTCCAATGGAGATTGTGTCTAGATTTCAACCTATTCTAATCTTGATTCAGCATTTAGCATTGCATGTAAGAGAACAGCTCAGAATCATCTATGGGGGGAGAGCAAGGGAGGTGTGATTGATTTGGATAAATCTTTTCAAAGTGCCGGCACAGACATGATGGGCCGAATGGCCTCCTTCTGTGCTGTATGATTCTATGATTCAATTTGCTGACTTTTATCTTTGTTCCATTGGGGAAAGCTTGACCTCGCTCCTCACCCTTTCCCTTGACACAACACAATGTTTACAGTCTTATTCCCACTAGTCTCCATCTCATTTACTTTTTTTGGAGGGGAAGAGGAAGGTGTTTGGACACTCCTTAATGACTCCTTGCTCACCCAGCCCATTCATAACTTTCCACACACGTTGCTCTATTCCCCAGCCAAGTGCTAGCAGGATACCTTTGCCACAATCTAGTGCACTGTAAAATGTGACTGAGCAGACAGACTCCTGTTTAGTATCTCCCAATATCACAGTGCAAATGGAGGAAAAAAAATACACCTCGAGGCATTCAATGTGTGAAGGTACCTTTGGAGTTCTGATCTCACTGTTTGTTGCAATCCACGTCACCTTCACAAATTACATGCTGCCAGCACTCTAAACCGTTCACCTTCAATACCAATGGGATCGGATTTCTCCGGAGTACATTTTGAGCCCCAAGCTAGGAAAGCTGAAAACACAGAACAAGAATGAGTTCTGCACAACGCTGTAACCTCATGGGCTGAGTACAAGGTTAACAAGTTACCAGAGCATAATCTAACAATAGAAGCCCTTCACTAAAGCAGGTCATTTTAAAGTACAGTTTAATCACAGTGCTACTTCTACAGCCAACAGCAACAAAGCAGTGACTGCTATCAGAGGCTCTTGTTGTCCAGTTGTTCCCTCAAGCTCTGTTACTTGTATTTTAGAAGATCTTTACTGTGGTAAATTTTATTCTGCTCAGAAAACATTCATTCTAATTTATGTGACTCAACTATGGTATTTTCACATTTTAGTATTTTTCTATTCTTTGCGTGAGTGTTTCATATTTAATTCAATTGGATGTTTTTTTCTGCATGCAATGATTTCAGCTTCTATCCCTGACTGTTCTGAGTCCACTCAGTCTTACCAGTGAGGTCCTCTACGTTAGTAGATCTAAGTTCAGGCTTGTTTCTGTTCCACTGTCAGCATATCCAAGCCAAAGCTGCAAGATGTCGATTTTACAGGCTGTCTCTCACATTCTTAATGAAGTGAAGTCTAACCACAACCTTACAGATTTGCCAAAATTGAGCTGTAAAGACGCAAAACGCTACTAAATCTCTCTCACTGTAAACTTTTTTAAAATAATTTTTATATACAAAACCACTAACGTGGCTACACACCCACCAACAGTACCTGATCTCTTTAAGCTGCAGCCAGTTACTCACACTTAATAAGAAGCTAACCAGTTCACTGGCAGGCACTCATGGACACGTGTGCATGAACACATTCGCAGAAGCGAACATAGTAAGAACACTGTAGCACAGCAACGTAATCAAAGGAGTAGGGTTGAGGATGTACTGCAACATGCACCCTTGTGGTGTGTGATCAGGTAAAGTCACTATATAATGGCCTCAACTCGTCCTGCCAAATGACAAGTAGAATTGTGTAAATTCTGTGTGGCTGCAATATCCTATGAATCACACACAAAAGAGTAGCCATTCCTTTGGGCCTTTGATCCGCTTGGCCACATACACACAAACACACACACACACAATGGTACAATTTTCTCACTTTTACAAATGATCGGATTCCGCTGAATGTTACAATTACAGTTAAGTACTGTTTGTTTCTTATTTATTCTTAGAATCAAACCAAATGATTGCCAGGCTCAACACCCTGTTATTCATTTAGGACAACCTGCAATCATACAGTGCCTCTTATTATCTACTCAGACCAGCCCACACATTTCATTGATTAGTTCGATTAGATTTAAAGGTCACACAAAGGCTGCATCAGAATTCACATGAAACAATGGCTGTATGATTTGGAGCAACACATTACAAATAAGCATTCAAGGCTGACCGAGTGAAAAGCAGGTCATTGAATCCCGACAAACATAAAATGAATTGGCAAGTAGGTTTGAGTTACACCCACAGAAATCCTTTCTCCTTTTGCAGCCCTTTTCCTCACAGCATTCTGGTGCAAGTCATTTCTGTTGAAAAATATAAAAATTGAGAACAAAATTCAATATGTGGGGTTTACTCAACGTCTACAGGACGTCAGGTAAACAGCGTGGGAGGTGTGGGGCCACAGACTACACTGTTTAGCGGGTTTATAACGGGGTGGGGGGTTATGGCAGATTCCACTGAAAAAATGCGACCGCACTTTTCTATCCGCCCAACATATTAGTCCCCGATTGAGTATATCTATGTATTCTGTCCTGCAGTATCTGGGTTCTTTTCCAGTGAATTGTTAGTGCTTTTTCAGTGCATCTGTTATCTGTGTTGCTAAAGTGGCTGCTGTAGTTTTATTAAAAAGCAATTATTACATTACATATAATGGCTTTATTCAGCCAGACATACCACGTTCTGCCTGATTTCACTGAACCCATCATCACCATGTTTTACAACGCTAATCTTTTCCGCTTAAATGGATCTCACAGAACAAAAGGAAAACAAAAACAACAACAACAACCACAAGACTACATTTGTATAGCACCTTTCACGTCGGGAGGACGTCCCAAGGCGATAGACAGTGTACAGTATTTCATGTGAAAATTAAAATGAAATAAAAATAGTTAACCCTTTTTCAACTGATAATCTTGGCGTGTTTATAGTCAGTGTACAGAATTTCATGTGAAACCATGTAGAATCATAATAAGAAATTACTGAATTACTAGGATAAATCATTCTAAATTTGTGTCAAGATGTACTTGAAGATCTCTTTGGAAGACACACAAGTTCTTAGTAATCAGTAGATCTTCTTCACTAAGCCAGGTTCCAAGTATTGCTATACTGACTCATGCTCACAAGTTCTGAGAGCTATGGAAGAGCTCCTGTAATTTACAAGCGCGGGTGAAATACCCTCCACAGCGACTGAAAAAGCTACAAACTGCTGCTTGAAATGGTATCTGTCATGTAATCGTATACACCTTCAAGTCAACTTCAGTTGTATTCTCCTTTTACTGCAATCTTGCTACCCTGCCTTGTTACTCTGCTCAGTTCATCCATTAATTAAGGGAGGAAGAACAAAGATTGGGCTGGTGTAATAACTGTGAGAGCAAATCATTATATAAAGATATAGAAGTGTAAAATAATGATGCAAGCACTCAGGAGCTAAAGGCCCTGAAACTGTCAACGCTCAACTTGACTAGTGAAATCGCCAGCATTCTGTGTCTCTCTTAGTCAGATGATACACAGCAATGCCTAGTGATGTACACAAAATATACAGTCAATCCACTTTACAGTATATTCTGTGAAGCACTTTGAGCCGTCTCGAAGATGTGATGAGGCACTATCATTAAATGCAAGGATTATTATTATTTTTATTGTAGGCTTTGTGTTTCACATATTTGCACAGAGTATCCTGTAATAGTGAATACTAGGGCCAAGTAATAATAATAATAATAATCCTTGCATTTGATATAGCGCTTTTCACGTCGGGAGGACGTCCCAAAGCGCTTCACAGAACACACTGTAAAGTGAATTGACTGTATATTTGTGGGCGAACGCGGCAGCCAATTGCGCACAGCAATGTCCCACAAACAGTCGTAGATTGAAAATGACCAATTTATTATTGTTTTTGGTTTTAGAGGGATTATTATTAGGCTCTGTGTGGAGTAAGGAAACTTGCCCAAGGTTTCGCCCTCTGCCTGGAATTGAACTCAGGTATCTCGCTTGCAAAGCGAGTGCTCTAACCACTGAGCTACAGGACTCCACGATCATTCTAAATCATCAATTCTTGAGAAATGGCAACACTACTTTCCATAAATCAATCCAGCTTTGTCCTGCATGACACGATGCTGCTTCAAAATTCAGAATGCATCAGAAACTTCCATGTCAAACAACCATTGTAATAACTAGACCATTGTCTATTTCAAAAGAGCAAGCTGCCCAGTGAACTGTATAAATGTGAGCAAACACCTGTAAATAAATGTAGATGGTAATTCGATCTTAGGATTCAAGAGTCAAAAACAAACAGCTCAATTTTCATTCTCATGTTCATGAGATCACCTATTTATTGGATTACTGCCTTGTAATTCACTTGTAGGGACTCATTATATAAATCACCAAGTTTTAATTGATTAATTTCATCAATTTTTTCTCAGTTTAAAAAGGATCATAATTCCCTTTCTTCAGTTAGCCCAAGAAACACTATCTTTAGATTAAACTAATATCTGAAACCAGCTTAAGAGGGTTTAACTTTAAGACCTGAGAAACATACAAATATTTATTCTAAAGATTAAACGTTTGCTTGGTTACGTCTCAAATATTTATAGTTTATTACACGATCCTGCTGCCGTTAAGCACAACAGACAGGGAGCAAGATTGAAGTCATCTGAAATGTCAAATCTAGTTTAGAATTCTGTTAAAAAGAATCCTGTAAGAATATTCACCAAGACCCAATCACTCAAAGCCTCTGATTGACGAGTGAGCATTATTTTTATTTGTAGAATCAGACTTCATCCAGCACCGAGCAACTTTGTATCTCTTAATTGGTCCTCTGGAATACTTTCTTTACATTGAAACGTACTAGATGTGTGTTTGATGAGCACTTTTGCAGTAAGTCACAGTTTTAAGCTTAGACAAGTATTGGTCATGTGAAGGGTTGCACGTAAATAATTCCAGACTTTGTCCATAACAGAGATGCCGGCAGGGATTCCCATACTAACATCATGATGTTACTCCAAACACAGTAATTAGATTTTGTAAGGCCAAGAACCTGGAAAGGCCTCTTCATAATGACTGCTAAATATTGTTACCCCGGTTGTGGGGGCATTTTTGACAAACAACCCAAATCTGAAACATATTTACAATAATCATTAAGGAAATTTTGTTGAGCCTTGTTATTCATTATCAGTGATCAAATTACCACGAAAATTGCTGCAATGTATAAGGTTTTTCGATCAGGTCATACGAGATAAATGTTAATGATTCCGATGACTAATTCAGATCAGTAAATGTTTGCAGGTGCAATTCACAATTTTGAGAGTTTTATTGACAGTTTTATGCTTTCCACGGAAAGTAATGGAGGAGAAAAGGGCTTTACTGTATTTAATGACCATTTGTACCGTTTTTGCTCAGCTTTTCTTGGCATGTTCATTGATGGCGTCTCTGGTATTTGTTAAAACTCTAATTACTTTTCCTTGCTTGCTGCTATAAAGCACATCTAACTTCTGCAATAGAAGTTCTCACAATTCAGATAGTGATTCAGGGTATTGGGTGCGGCAATGGTTTCAGCACACTGACAAGTGGTGTCTCTGGAAAGAATGACTTTTACAGCAGCAAACAGCTGGTGTGCTGCTGGAGAAGTTAGAGTCTGGAAACAGAATAAAATGGCACTCCATAGGGGAACCCAGTACTGAATAACAGGCGGCTTGAAGATCTGCTTTGGGAAACAAACCAGGCTCTCTTAATAGCACTAAGAACTTGTTCATTTCAGTTGTCCAGTCTCTATTTGTTTAACATTTCCATATG